ATTGGACAGGTGATGAGCAGTGCCTGGTTTTCTCCACACATACCGCTTAGAATTAAGGCCAAAAAGTTCTATCTTGGTCTCATCAGACCAGAGAATGCCACTGTGCTCTTAGGAACCTTAAGTGCAGCAGAAATTTTTTTTTGTAACCTTGGCCAGATCTGTGCCTTGCCACAATTCTGTCTGAGCTCTTCAGGCAGTTCCTTTGACCTCATGATTCTCATTTGCTCTGACATGCACTGTGAGCTGTAGGGTCTTATATAGACAGGTGTGTGGCTTTCCTAATCATGTCCAATCAGTATAATCAAACACAGCTGGACTCAAATGAAGGTGTAGAACTATCTCAGGGATGATCAGAAGAAATGGACAGCACCTAAGTTAAATATACAGTATGAGTGTCACAGCAAAGGGTCTGAATACTTATGACCATGTGATATTTCATTTTTCCTTTTTTAATAAATCTGCAAAAATGTCAAAAATTCTGTGTTTTTCTGTCAATATGGGGTGCTGTGTGTACATTAATGAGGAAAAAAATGAACTTAAAAGATTTTAGCATATGGCTGCAATATAACAAAGAGTGGAAAATTTAAGGGGGTCTGAATACTTTCCGTACCCACTGTATATTATGCTAATAAGATGATATACCAAAGCCAATGGATTATTCACAGTACCTCAGTGGCACACACACACACACACACACACTATAGTAGAATATGTAGAAACACACACAAGCACATCACAGAAACAAGGTAGCCTATAAATGTATATATAACTTATTATTGTACATAATGTGTACATTAATAAAGATGCAAATGCAAAAACGGTTTGGAGTATGAATTTTGGTTGAGATAAATGCTTCTGGATAAATGCATGCCACTAGTTGCTTATGTGTAACTGTTCATCAATCAAACTGTGTAGGCCGATCAAAGTGTAAATGATCTCATATATTGGTGTGTCCTAGATTGTTACCTGTCAGCTATTACAGTAGGACACTGACAAGGTCGATTAATAGCTTAGAGCAATCAAACAGAAAATTGCTAACCACAACTCTTTCCAATTCGTTCAAAACTCCAGCAGCTAATTATGGGTTATTAAACATGGCGGTACATAAAATAAGAGATAATTTCACTGGAAAAAGATTGTGGCACAAGATCAGCAGAACACAACTTCATTCAGGCATCACTGCCCTCAAATTCACTTTCATCTCTTCCACTGACTTGTTACTACAAGTCAAGAAGCTGAACCATTTCTACCTTTCAATTAAACCTAATAACTTATTTCTCCTTATTGTATAGCATTATTTGTACAAAGGTTTAATCATAATTTTTTTTTATTATTTGCTGTTAACAAACTATCAAGACTAAAAAAAATAACCTTAGCATTTTCCAGATTGTTGATTTCTGCATCACATTTGTTATTTCACAGAACTAGTAAATGGTGACTTGACCCACACCAACACATACCAACCTCAACCTGGAAGAGCATTGATTTGGACTCTTATATAAATTCTTGTACTGCACCCACTCAGCTTTTTATACTGGAAGACTTTTTTTCTCCACCAGCCTTACATCAGCCACTACAGTCGTTACCTCTGCATCAGGCTTTCATTGTGTGGGGGTGTGTATTTATGCAAAGATTCCCAAGGCCTTAGCTAAACAATTAGGTGTGCGAGTGCTGGCTGGGGATCTGAAGTCTGGTTCACAGAAGCTCCGTCTGGCACTGGAAATGCCAGTGATGTTGCTGTCGGGTAGCATCTCATCATGTTTCAAACTCTCAGAGTTGCCCACAAAAAAACGCATCACACCTAAAGAGCTGTTTAGTCTGACAGCACACAGTCACATTGAGTAGGTACAGTACACACACGTTTATCCAGGGACTGTTTTGTGTCTTAAGTGCTCGACATTAAATGAAGAGCATGAAGCCATACAGAGCCTCTTGAGAGCAAGGACAACAGCTACAGTACACACACACACACACACACAGAGTCACCTGGATACACATAAAACACACCAGATGTCAGTCAGGCGTATTTTCAGTGACTTGTTTAGATTAGAACCTATGTCTGTCTGCAGCTCAGGATGAACTCTGTTTGCACTCTTTAACAATTAAATTGTTTTCGACAGCCATAGTTGAAGGACTGCAGCTACTGTGCTTGAGGGGGAAAATTCCTCTGAAACACTGTCACACTTGTTATACAGTATCTGTTAGCAATGTACCACACTACAGTCCCAGTCAGCCATGAACAATCACAGTGCATCATCATACTCACTGGCCAGTTTATTAGGTACACCTGTACACTTGTATGCAACTCAATGCAACATTTCCAGTTTAGCATCTTGTGTTTAAGCTCAAAATATGTCAGCTTTTGGTGAAATTGTCATAAATGTATACATTCAATTACAGTGCCTTGCAAAAGTATTCGGCCCCCTTGAACTTTGCGACCTTTTGCCACATTTCAGGCTTCAAACATAAAGATATAAAACTGTAATTTTTTGTGAAGAATCAACAACAAGTGGGACACAATCATGAAGTGGAACGAAATTTATTGGATATTTCAAACGTTTTTAACAAATAAAAAACTGAAAAATTGGGCGTGCAAAATTATTCAGCCCCCTTAAGTTAATACTTTGTAGCGCCACCTTTTGCTGCGATTACAGCTGTAAGTCACTTGGGGTATGTCTCTATCAGTTTTGCACATCAAGAGACTGAAATTTTTGCCCATTCCGCCTTGCAAAACAGCTCGAGCTCAGTGAGGTTGGATAGAGAGCGTTTGTGAACAGCAGTTTTCAGTTCTTCCCACAGATTCTCGATTGGATTCAGGTCTGGACTTTGACTTGGCCATTCTAACACCTGGATATGTTTATTTGTGAACCATTCCATTGTAGATTTTGCTTTATGTTTTGGATCATTGTCTTGTTGGAAGACAAATCTCCGTCCCAGTCTCAGGTCTGTTGCAGACTCCATCAGGTTTCCTTCCAAAATGGTCCTGTATTTGGCTCCATCCATCTTCCCATCAATTTTAACCATCTTCCCTGCCCCTGCTGAAGAAAAGCAGGCCCAAACCATGATGCTGCCACCACCATGTTTGACAGTGGGGATGGTGTGTTCAAGGTGATGAGCTGTGTTGCTTTTACGCCAAACATAACGTTTTGCATTGTTGCCAAAAAGTTCGATTTTGGTTTCATCTGACCAGAGCACCTTCTTCCACATGTTTGGTGCGTCTCCCAGGTGGCTTGTGGCAAACTTTAAACGACACTTTTTATGGATATCTTTAAGAAATGGCTTTCTTCTTGCCACTCTTCCATAAAGGCCAGATTTGTGCAGTATACGACTGATTG